CTACGGGACCGGAGAGAGACCACTGGGGCATGACAGGACTGAGTCTTTGTGCGTCCCAATCTTTTGCACATCCCCTGAACCGGCGCCTGCCTCCGGCACGGCCTGCGTCGGAGCCCCCCGGCTCGGTGCGGACGGCGGCGCCCGTCTCGGGCCGGCAGAGCCTGGCCCCCCCGCGTGCTGGAGCGAGCGCTGCTGCCGAGCGGCCTTCGCACGTCTATTCACGGCGGCGTCGCCGCCGCCGACGCTGCCACCATCGTCGTCGACAACGACGTCGACAGCCTGGGCCTCCCTGTGCACGCCGCGCGCGGCCGCCTTACCTTGCAGTTGGCGCGCACAGCCGTGACCTTCCGCCACGGTTTCGTTCCCTCTCTCCGAGTCGCGCCTCCGATAGAAGCGGCGTGTTTCATGAGGTCTGGCTCCTGCGTCTCGCCTACTTTGCCACCCAAGGTGTTGGCAGAGACTGGCATCGAAAGACTGCGCGCGCCACCTTTGTTCGCCATCGGCCAACAGGCGTGAAGGATGGAGATTGCCGACAGCTCCTGCGGAGTGCTTGAGCCATACTGCGGTGATGATGGTGATGTGGGTGAGCGTACAACTGTTCTGCATCGGCGATGCTGGGATGATGGTGATGCTGATGGTGATTATGGTGGCGATGATGCTGGAGAAACAATGGCAACGCACACGCTGTGCGCCTGAATTGTCAGGCTTCGAAAGTCTGATGGCCGGCGATGATGTGATACTGATGGTTCCATCCGTGTAGGTCATAATTGAGGAGCGCTTCGGTGTCGTGCTGTTTTGTGGCGCCAGCTGATCTCAGCTCGCAACACTGCCTACTCATTCGCTGTGTGCCTGAATTTTCAGGCTTTGCAAACTTGACGTTGCGACCATCTGTGTAACTCATGATCGAGGTGCGCCTCAGCGTCGGGCTGCTTCGTGGCGCCAAGAGCTCTCAGCTCGCAGCAGTGCTTGCTCATTCACTGTGCGCCTGAAGTGTCAGGCTTGACAAGTTTGACAAGTTGCAACGATGCGGCAATGGTGGCTGCCTCCACCCGTGCACTTCACTCATTACGAAAGGGCGCTTCAGCGGCGAGCTGTCTCGTGGCGCCAGCAGCTCTTAGCCCGGAGCAGCGCCTGACCGTTCTGCGCGTGCCTGCTCTGTCCGCAAGAGCCTGGCGCTCTTCCGAGACCCTCCAGGCACCATGGGGACACCATCGGGACACCACGGGAGCACCTGAAGACACTGCGGGGGGCAAATACATGACGCCATCGGGACACCACCAAGAAACTGACTTCGGCGTCACCCCGACATACTTATACTATATGTGCGTCGCCCCTCCAGGGGCGACGCGCGCACCGAGAAATCTTATAGTGCATGCGTCGTGGCGGGTGCTTTCTGACCACACCGCTCGGGAAACGATATGCTACAACATGGGTATACTATATGGTCGGGTCGGACGCGCGCCTCCAAGGAGAACATATAGTACTAGTATGTCTTTGTGCGTCCCATGACTCTGAGAACCCGACACCCATCGGAGAACCGTCAAGCAACCACCTGGACCCCTGTGAAACAACCGCGGGACATCTACGGGACCGTTGAGAGACCACTGGGGCATGTCAGGAACATGATCGGGACAACGTCAAGACACCATGGAAGCACCATCGGCACATTATCGGGGCACCATGTGGGCACCAGCTGGGACACCATCCGGACACCATCGAAACACCATCGGGACACCATGGGGACACCATGAGGACACCACAGCAGGTTCTTGCCGTATCGACCCCGGCGTTGGTTCCTGACACCGCGGGGATCGTTCAACCTTACCGATCGGTCTTTTCAGAATGGCCAGATCTCGTGTTGACCCAAAAGGGGGTCCAGCGACAATAGGGTGGTGCAATAGATTTGGTACAATATACGTGGGGTTGCAGTACATTCGGGCGTGCAATACATTCCGGGGCGCAAATGTATTGCTGGATTTTCGCGTGCAATACATTACTTGCAATACATTGCAATACAACTCTCTGGCGTAACCCATTTGCAAGACAATTGCCCCAAATCTACTGCACCACTCCCTTTCAGCTGGACCCCCTTGTGGGTCACCCGGAGGATCGTTCCACGATGGGCCTATTCTGGGCCACGGGCAGCGTTCAACTTTACGCCTTCACGCTGGCGTCGTGTCTGGTTGGCACGACGCGAACCTGCCGCGTGACAACCACAGGACCATTGAGAGACAATTGAGGCACCAGTTGGACACCAACGGGACAGCATCGGGACACCGTCGAAACACCATCGGCACACCATCGGAGCACCATGTGGACACCATTTGGGACACCATCGGGACACCATCAAAACACCATCGGGGCACCATGGGGCATCATCGGGACACCATGGGGACACCATCTGGACACCATTGGAACACCACCGGCGTACCATCAGGACACCATCGGAACACCATCGGGACACCACAAGAACACGATCGGAAGACTGTCGGGACACCATCGGGACACCTTCTGCCACCGCCGGCCAACCGTGCGGAGAAGCATGTGGCGCGGTTTCGCCCCGGCAGCGGCGGGTTCATTCCTCCTCGGCCGCCCACGCAGCCTCGCCTCGCTCGCACGAACGGCACGAAGGCGAAACCGGAAGTTGTTCCGCGGTGTGGGGCCTCCGTTTCATGTCGATATCACCCAATTTCACGTACGCATAAATACATATATCTATAGTTATCTCTGTAGATTTATAGATCATCTATATACGCATATGTGTGTATGCGTATAGATATAGAAGTATATATCCTCAGGTTTCTCTCTCCGTCTCGACCGTCATTCCATGACATCTCTATCCGTCTGTCTCTCTCTCTCTCTCTCCTTCTCTCTTCCTAGTCCTGTCTTTCTCAAGCACCTCCCTGCATCGATTGGGGAGAGGGGGGTCCGCTTCCGCCACGCGAATCCATGTGTTGGCCAGCTAGTCGCGAGCACATGTCGTTGCGTTGTCTTATCTGTCCCTTGTCCTTCTTCTGGCCACGAAGGGAAGGGAGGGTAGGGGGGCTCGCCGTGGGGGAAACGAGTCCTGAGGGAAACGGGTCCTGAGGTGTTTCGCCGGCTTGGGGGCTCTCGGGGCCCTCCACTGGCCCCAGAACGGTCCGCAGACGACTCGGCATGAAGAGCTGGCCGTGGGGGAAGGCCCCCCGGGGGACCAGGGCCCGCTCCCCCGGGACTTGTTTTTTCCCCCACGCGGAGGGGCCCGGCTCGGGGGCCAGCGATGGTCTGGGCCCGCGGCGTCTCCAGTGCTTCGGGCCACTCCTGGGCCCCAGGGGGCTCGGGGCCGCGTGAGGGAGGCTCTGGGGGCCATCCCTGGAGATCCTGCAGGGCACCTTGGGCCAGGGGCTCCTTCTGGCGGGTGGGGTCATCCAGCAGCTACGCGAACCTGAACCCCATCTACCCTCGGTCAGGAGGGGCAGGCATTAAAGATGGTGGCGAGTGCGGTCACAGACATCGACATCCTAGCCCATCACGTCCCCTCCTGCATCTTCTGTCCCTCTGCCCTTTCCTCCGTTCCCGCCCTCGCACGTTTTGCTTCTGGCGACACCCGAGGGGGGCCCGGGGCCCGTCGCGGGGCGGGGGCGCGGCGGTGTGGCACAGGCACACCCCGCTCGGCAGCGCGGGAGCAGTCTGCAGAGCCTGGCGCCCACGTCGGGTTTCTGAGCCTGACCGAATCTTCACCACGAGGCGCGCGGAGGGGGCCGGTCTCGGCCAGATCTGGGGCCCCCGGAGGGGGGGGAGGAGGAGGAGGAGGAGGAGGAGGAGGAGGAGGAGGAGGAGGAGGAGGAGGAGGAGGAGGAGGAGGAGGAGGAGGAGGAGGAGGAGGAGGAGGAGGAGGAGGAGGAGGAGGAGGAGGAGGAAGGAGGAGGAGGAGGAGGAGGAGGAGGAGGAGGAGGAGGAGAGGGGGAGGGGGAGGTGGAGGGGGAGGAGGAGGTCTTCGGATGTTTCGGTGGCCCTTTGCGGTCCTTTTCGGTCTTCGGGCGTGTCCGTCGGTATCTCGGCGGCTTTTTCCAGCGTCGGCGTGCCGTCCAGCAGCTGCGCCTCGCCCCGTGGCGGTGTCGGGGCTGCGCCAAGACCGTCCCGAGCGGCCGCCGGAGGGCCCGGTCATGGCCCGAAAAAAACCGAGAAGGAGCAGGTCGGGAGCGGAAAAGAGGGGGGTGATGACTAGAGGGGGGTGGATATCATGGCGCGGGCCATGATTTTTCCCCAGATCTTAGGGCGCCTCTTCTTGTTTCATGACGTCCCTGGCCCCCCCGCTGGGCCGCGCACATGCCGCCGGCCATGATTTGCACCCCCCCCTCTTGGACACCCCCCTCTTGGCCGCTCCCGAGCAGGGGGAGGGGAGGTCAGCTTCGCGCAGGAGGAGGGTGTGGGGGGAGGGGGGGCGGCGTCTTAGGAGCACCCCAGCTTCTTAGAAGTCGCTGGCCTTGTCTGTAGGTGTAGGGCTGGCGCCTTCTAAGAAGCAGCGTCCTCTTAAGAAGCCTTCACCCCTCCCTCTGCCCCCTTGTGCGCGCCGGCAATGGGCCTCGGCTGATGCCTTCGTCGCCACGGCTGGATTCGCCTCGAGATTCTGGTCAGAGCGCACCTCGGGATGTCTGTGGGGAGCAGCGCCATCGGTATCTTTGGGGTTCTGAGAGGGTGCCCACCTGCGGGAGCTCTGGTCATGTTCTCTGTGGGACTACTCGGGGACGCGCAAGCCTTGATTGGCGACGCGTGGGCTGGCGACGAGTCCTGGTTCCGTACAGAAGCGCTTCGCTCCGTCGCCAAATTGGGTGGCATTGGCCTCACGCTTTGGGGGGCACCTTCCCCGATCCAAGGATCTGGCGCCCACGCGCAACTTCCACGGATCCCTAGTCCGTTTGAGCGTGCGCCCGTTTTTTTTTTTTTTTTTTTTTTTTTTGTTCTCTCTCTCTCTCTCTGTCTCTCTCTCTCTCTCTCGCTCGCTCTCCAGCCCGCCGCAGATCGGCGGCGTCCTGGGCGTGGCCGAGGCAAGGGTGAAGGACGTTAGCACCGACAAGGTCTCCCCGCCGCCGATCGTCGCCACGTGCCCCCGTTCGGCCTCCGCCAAAGAACATACCACATCATAAACATGCAGTCGGCCTCGATTGGCAGGTCGGCCCTGCCAAATCAAGGGTACCCTTGTGTCCTATGCCTCGCGACCTCGTGCCTCCTGTGGCCCTCTGCAGGATCTTGTGTCCTCTCGCGTGTCCTGTCCAATCAAGTCCGACTGTACACATGCAGAGCTCCGCGCGGTCTTCTCGGTTCGGCGATATGCCCCCCCCCCCCCCCCGCTCCCCCTGGCGGCGCCTCCGGCGGGCGCCGCATTTGGTGCGCTCCGCGCGCGAGGGAGCCGGGGCACAGCGCCGATCCAAGAGATCCGCGCGGACCTCCAAGAGTGCATGTGTGTGTGCCGTTGTTTGTTCCTCCAGCGGCGAAAGGTCGCTAACTTTTGTATCGCCCAAGGCTCGTGTGGGGCGGGGTGTTGTTGCCGAGGTGCCCCGAACGACTCGGCAAACCCACGCTGAGGCTGTTCAGGAGGGTTAGCGCGGCGCCACGATGCTGCACGGCGGGTCGCGGCCGTAAGGCTGCGCGGTTGCTGCTCAGCCTCCGAGGGGATGCCTTCCGCACCGCTCAATCATACGGATATTCGATGTGTACGTCGGCCCCGCAAGACGCGCAAGTAGAGGCTCGGTGGGCGGGCGCTTTCTGGCCATACCGCTCGGGTAGTTGCGTGTCATATAACCTGTGTGCTATAGCTTCGTGTCGGACGTGCGCCTCCAACATCAGCACACAGTACTCGTATGTCCTTCTGCGTCCCATTCCTGGAGGCTTCGTTGGGGGCCCTTTGTGGCCCCTTTGGGGGCTTCTCGGGACCCGCTGCGCGTCCGCTCGCCCAGGGGGGAGGACAAGAGGGGGCGTGCCCTTGTGAAGGCTCAGAAGTGCCTCGGCCTTCCGAGAAGCCTGCTGAGCTCCACCCGAGGCCACACGGTGGCTTCTCAGAAGGCCGCGAGGCCTCCTAGAAGCCACGCCGCTTTCCGAGAAGGCCCGCCACCTCGGCCTGCCATCTCTCACTTCTCGGGGGCGGCAAAATGGGAGGCGATGACCAGAGGATATCCATGGCGGGGGGCCGTGATATCTGCCCAGTTGTCATGGCGCCCCTCTTGTATCAACACGTCCCCGGCCCCACCCTGGGCCGCGCACGTGCCGCTGGCCATGGTTTGCGTCCCCCCCTCTTGGACGCCCCCCTCTTGGACGCCCCCGAGTCTTGCGGCGCAGCCGGTCTTAGGGCGGTCAGGCGGGACGTATGCAGATAGCTCCCAGCACATTTCAGCAACAACAACATTACAATTGCAGTGGGTAACATCCAGACACTGGCACACCACACAGTCAGCTCACAGAGACGCAGGCTCACAGAGACGCTTCAACCTGATCTGGCACGCTATTGCCATTGTAGGCCAGCGAGTGAAGCTGGGGCGCTACGTGTTTTGGATTAAGTGTAGTTTGCCCTGCAGCTCTCTCACAAGGCCACTGTGTGAGCGCGTGGGCTTTTCTTGCTGTCTGGACTCTATGTTTCGGAATCGATGGTCCTGCATGTCATGACCTACGTCTGTGCGTGGATTACCGAGCTGCCGTCGACGATTCAATCAGTCAGGATGTACAATCTGATGCAGCCTGCTGAGGTCACGCGCGATTCAGCTTCCGACAACGTTTGCAATTGTTTGCAGCAGGTTCTCCCTCCCGCACTTCTGCTCTGCTACGCCTGTTTTCCAATGCCAATGTCTTGCCGCGATTGCGGTGCGTGCCATGGGAAGTATGTGCCGGTGGGTTAGAGGCTGCGGGAGCTGCGCTCTGCTTGCTGTGCTGGATTCTATACCGAGCTCGCTGAGTCGCTTCAGAGCAGAAGTTGGGCCTTCTCTAAGGCAGTAGAGATGTCACGCGCCGGCAGAAGCAAGCCGGCGGCGCTCGTCCGGTGATGTTTGTACTTTCATCCATGCCATCCATTTTCGATGAGGCTTCTAAGAGCCACTGATAATGACGTTCGGATGCCTGAGGAACGAGCGAGCTACACAGGAATTGCCAGTGCACGGAGCAACACTCATCTCAGTACATTCAATCAGGCTTCACTTGCAGCGAGCAGGGCTCGTACGCTGGCAAGCCACACAAGCAGCACACAGAGACGCAGGCGTGGTGTATGTGTGCATCCTGCGAGGTCATCGGCTCACACATACGGGCACTGCCCCAAGCCTCATCCTGATCTGGCACGCTGTTGACCATTTTGGCCAGGGAGTGACGTTGGGCGCTACGTGTTTCGGATTCAGTGTAGTTCGCCCTGCAGCTCTCTCACACGTCCACTGTGTGAGCGCGCGGGCTTGTCTGGATTTTTCTGGAGAGTATGTGTCGGCAGACCCTGACGGTGTGCATGTGTTGACCTGCATGTGCATGTTGTGCAGCTGTCTGCGGCAAACCCCGCCACTGTTCCAACCCAGCAGCGCAGCAGGAACGAGGTTGAGGTCAATACCCGCTTCACTTCAGCGCCCTGTCTGAAGTGGTGCGGGGCTCGCAGGCAACCTCTGTGTCCGCAGCTTCGCTTTCCGCCTCCTTCCTCCGCCTCAAAGGCATCTTGGAGGCCTCTTCCCAGGATGCTTCCTCCTTCCTCCGTCTCACAGTCATCCGGGTCCCCGGACGTCGGTCCCACAGGCGGGGGGAATTTGTTGGGGCCCCGTTGGCTCTCGAGGGCTCTGCTGAGGCAGTCTGCAGCCAACACGCACCGGAGCAGACGCGCACCAATGTTTGTGACACATGTGCGGTTTCGCGGTTGTGGGCCTCCGCGGGCTTTCTTGGGGCCCTCGTCGGGTGTTTTTCGGAGGGTCCTTGGGACCTCTTACAGCGAAGACGCTGGATTCTGGGCCACCTCGGGTTCGGGAGGGCTCTGGCTTTCGGGCTGTTCATTGGGCCTCGGTCGGGAAACCTATTCGTGGTCGAGGCTCGCCGATGCCACAAAATCCCTCTCGTTTCTTGTGCAGCCTTCCCTCATGGCAGCACGATGTCTATATTGAAGACAGGGGGCAGCTTACTCCAGATTTTGTAATAAAAGGAAGGGGGTCTGGACCCTTCAAGACAAGCCATTTCAGACCCCCCCGTGGGAGAACCCTCCAAAACATCGTCCCCAGACCCCCCAGGCCCTCCAAGATAGCCTGGAAGAGACCCCCCCCCCGAAATGAGACCCCCCTCCCTTTTATTACGAGATCTGGAGTAGAGTCTCTGGGGCATCGTGGGCAGTCGCAGGCTGGTCCCTGATCCATCGCGCAGCCGTGCTGAAGCAACTCTGGGCCGCCTCCGCGCCGTTCGGAGGCCAGGCGTGCCCCGCCCGAGGGCAGAACACAGGATTGGGGGGGGGGGCGATGCTGTAGGGACGGTTGCGCGGGGAGGAGGAGGAGGAGGAGGAGGAGGAGGAGGAGGAGGAGGAGGAGGAGGAGGAGGAGGAGGAGGAGGAGGAGGAGGAGGAGGAGGAGGAGGAGGAGGAGGAGGAGGGAGGGGAGGGGAGGAGTAGGGGGGGGAGGGAGGAGGGAGGAGGGAGGGGGAAGGAGGAGTAGGAAGGGGGAGGGAGGAGGGGTGAGGGGGGGAGGACGGGGAAGGGAGGAGGGGGGGGGGGGGCGTCTTGGGCGTTCTTAGATGATCCCGCTTCAACGACTCCTCGCGGAGGCTCGTGGAGGCCCTCTCGGGCGCTTGAACGGCTCGCGGCCGCTCCCGTCCAGACCCAGGGGTGACGGAGGGGGGGGAAGGTCAGACCCGTCCCCGCAGGGGAACAAGGGGGTTGGAAGAGGAAACTCTCTAAGCCACCTACGCCCGAAATGGCTGGTGGGAATAACACACCCTTGCAGCGGAAGATCCTAAACAGCTCTCCCACAGTGGCAGAGAGAGAGGGAGAGAAAAAGAGAGATGCGTACGGGGATGGAGCATCAGTCTACCGAGAAGCGTTGGCCTGGGAGGATGCAACGAGAAAGTTCAGAGGTTGATGCGATACCATATTTGTTCGGTTACCCTTTCTGGGACAGCTACGCCAGTAGTTGTCTGGCATGCCACTGGTTTCCATCAAGTGCGCACAAATCGTTACGTGCACATCAGTGCGACGCATTTCTCGTTGCCCCCGTCTGAGCCCCTGACAAGATTAGACATGCATACGTCACGTTGGTAGCTGGACATAGTGAGACACACAATGTGCGTCCTTTCCGACTTCGCAGTGGGAGTTGCAGCGAAATATCAAGCATTAGCGAGAGCGTGTTTCCCGCAGTTTTCATTCGTAGAAGGATCAGTTCAGTAGATATTCATATTCACGTTTGTGAATTCATTTTTGGGAAGGGCGAGTTGGACGATTGGTTGTTTCACTACGCTTCGTTGAAATGTGTTGTGGCGTCGGGCCAGCACCTCACACCTGGTGCTACGATCGCAGAGCATGGGTCGTCATGGTGCGCTCAGTGTAAGTGCAGGTTGGCGTTGCCCTGGGGCCTCCAACTGGCCCTCGATGCGTCGAACGCCTGCTCAAAATCATGTTACATTGATTGTCCATACATCGATTGACGGTGGCGCGCCATCCTGCATGATGATACTCTTTCACAGACCTGTTCCGAGGCAGGATGAGGAGTAACCCACACTATAACATCTAAGGGTCTGACGGGAATTACATACCAAATCTGTCGATGGCCATGTTCCTTGCAAATGAATATTAACCCTCGCGCTCGATGACGGAAGCTTGACGAGCATTGTTGAATCTATGGTTGGTGGTGGTTCCAATTGTGAGTAATTGCGTTGCCCATGGAGGTACGCTTTAGACAGCCAGCCGGTATCCACAGTTTAGAGTTTCATGATGCGTTTCAATCGCCTCTCACAGCTGACCTTGTTGAGATGATGCTTGCCCCGTCTACGTGCGATTCTGTAGGTTTCGAGATGTGCAGGCTGGCGGACCCAGTGAACGTTCTTGAGAGTTTGCTTGCCTTGCGGTGATGCTTCCTGCATGAGG